AAAGCCAGAAAGAGGTCCAACATAGAAAGAGAACACAGACGACACTATTAAAGAAGGACAAAAAATAGCGGAAATGCTTAAGCAGACACAACTTTCCTTACAAAGAAGGAATAATTTAAACAGGGAGATTGAAGAAATCGAGCAGAAATTGAAAAACTCAAGTCAGACTGAAGAAAGGTAGTTAGAACAGAAAGCAATTCAGAAAATAAAGAAAATACAAAATACTACTTCACATATGCGAAATCAAAAGCAAAAACCCCTGCCAGTAGTGTACCTATTTGCACCAGTGATGGTTCATACACTGAGGATGACAAAGAAATTAGTGAAATCCTAAAAAAGCAGTATGAGGACATGTTTAGCACTCCAATAAACAACATGAAAGTGGAAGATCAGGACAATTTCATAATGCATGATATCCAAACCCCTGTAAATATAACTGATATCAACACGAGTGTGATAGAATTTAGAAGAGAAATTGAAAACATGCCCATGCACTCAGCTCCGGGTTCAGATTCATGGAATTCAATATTTATATAGAAATGCAAGGTACTAGTAGCAAAGGCACTCAGTATAGTGCGGAGGAAGAGCTTGGACACGGGGGAAGATACTAGATGCACTTAAAAGCAGCAGACATAGCCCCTCTACACAAGGGAGGGAGAAAAGAATTGGCAAAGAATTAAAGGTCAGTTGCACTAACGTCCCACATAATAAAAATATTTGAGAGAGTGATTAGGAATCAGGTCACCAGTTTCATAGAGACAAATGACCTTCACATTCCAGGCCAACATAGATTTTGAGCGGGAAGATCGTGCCTCTCACAGCTACTTGATCACTTCGACAAAGTCACTGAGGCATTAGAAGAAAAACAGAATGCAGGTATAGTATACACGGACTTCGCAAAGGCATTCGATAAATGTGACCATGGAGTGATAGCACACAAAATGAGGTCAATGGGAATAACCGGTAAAGTAGGACACTGGATACTCAGTTTTCTGTCGAATAGGACACAATGAGTAACAGCCAACAATATAAAATCGAGCCCAAGCGCAGTTAAAAGCTCTGTACCTCAAGGTACAATCCTTGCACCACTGCTTTTCCTTATTCTCATATCAGATATAGACAAAATTACATGTCACAGCTTCGTATCATCCGTTTCAGATGACAAAAAATTCAGCATGAAAATTACTTCTGCTTAAGACATTGAAAAACTTCAAGCAGATATTAATAAAGTTTTCGACTGGGCAACAGAAAATAACATTATGTTTAACAGTGATAAATTCCAGGTACTCCGGTACGGTAAAAATGAGGACCTTAAACATAATACAGGGTACAAAACATAATCAAATGTGCCCATAGTAGGAAAGCAGCAAGTAAAGGATTTGGGAATAATGATTGTCGACGACCTAACGTTTAGGGAGCATAACCAAGCAAATATTGCGCATCAGCCAGAAAAATGATAGGACAGATTACGAGAACTTTCAAAATCTAGGGATCCCATCACAATGGTTGTACTATACAAATCACTTGTACCGTCCCGTCTTGAGTACTGCTCAGTGCTCACTTCCCCCTTCAGAGCAGGAGAGATTGCTGAAATAGAGGGAATACAGAGAACATATTCATCATACATAGAAGCAATAAGAACCTAAATTATTGGGATCGTCTCAAAGCTCTCCAAATGTACTCACTAGAAAGGCAACATGAAAAGCACTTGGAAAACTATCTCTAGTATCCTAGGAACTAAACAACACTCACATAACCAAATAAAACTCTACAAGGATGGGGATATACCGTCAACTGATTTAGAAATGGCAAATGAATTTAATAGTTTCTTTTCATTGGTTGGTGCTAATCTTGCCAGTAAAATCCCACAGACTCAGACACAAATTAACACATATCTCTCAGGCAGCTATCCAAACTCTCTTCTCCTTTCACCAATCAGCCCGGCAGATGTTGTGTCCATCATACATTCTCTAAAAACCAAGGCAGGGAACACCAGTGAAATTCCGTCCATTGTGTACAAGAGAGCCTCCCATGCCCTTGCCCCACCCATAGCACTACTGTTCAACAAATCTATAGAGTATCACACCTTCCCTGATATCCTCAAAAAAGCAAGAGTAACGCCAGTCCATAAAGGAGGCAATCCGGCGGACATAAACAATTATAGACCAATATCAAATCTACCCATTCTATCAAAAATATTTGAAAAAATTATTTACAAACAGCTCTATTCCTACCTCGTAAAATTCGACGTACTCAGCCCCTGCGAGTTTGGCTTCCGGTCCCAAAAGAGCACCAACGATGCAATCATTAGTCTCCTTGACATTATCTACTCAGCCCTTGACAAAAATGAGTTTCCGATTGGAATCTTCATTGACCTAAGAAAAGCCTTTGATACTGTTAATCACAACTACCTCTTACTTAAACTCCAGCATTATGGAATCCGAGGCCTTGCCCTTGACTACATCCGATCCTATCTTAGTGACAGACACCAATATGTAACCATCAATGATACAACTTCTTCCACTCTACCAATTACCGTTGGAGTGCCACAGGGCAGCATCTTAGGACCTCTTCTATTTCTTATATATATAAACGATCTGCCTAATGTCTCTAATATTCTCAAACCTATATTGTTTGCTGACGATACTACCCTTATCTACTCAAACCTCAACCCACATACACTAAATAATGTTGTGAATAATGAATTAAAAAAGTCCACTTATGGATGTCAACGAACAAACTAACATTAAACATCGAAAAGACTTACTACATCTTATTTGGAAGCAAATCATCAAATGCAATTCAACTACAGATAGACAACATTAACATCAGTAATAAAAATGATGGCAAGTTTCTTGGCCTATTCCTAGACAAGAGACTCAACTTCAGCACCCACATTCAACACATAACTAAGTCTCTAAGACAGTTGGTATACTCTCCAAAATCAGATATTATGTTCCTAACTCTGCTCTCCTCTCACTATATTATGCACTAATCTACCCCTATCTTAATTATGGTATCTGTGCATGGGGGTCTACCACTGCAAACCACCTTAAGCCCATCATCACACAGCAAAAATCTGCTATCAGAATAATAACTAACTCTGCTTTCAGACAACACTCAGCTCCCTTGTTTAAATCCCTAAACTTGCTAAATATTAACTCCCTCCACACATTCTCTTGTGTCAACTACATTTACAAAACCCTGTTCTTAAATGCAAACCATGCTCTGAAACTCTCCCTGGACAGATGTAATAGGACCCATTATCACCACACCAGAAATAAATATCTCTTTGATATCCCCAGGGTCAAACTTAATCTGTGTAAACACTCTATGCAAATTAAGGGACCTAGTCTATGGAACTCACTCCCTAGTGAATTGAAAAACTGTAAAACTTTTGCCTTATTTAAAAGCAAAACCAAAAAGTACCTAACTTCATCTTCTTAGTTTCCTACACTGAGCTTTAAATTTGCTCTGTACCTAGTGTTACCCAATCTCCTAATTTTTATGTAATATCAAACAATCTTATCATTGTGTTCATTGCTGTCTTCTTTTATGTGCTAGCCATATGCTGTATTGTGACTACCAATTTTTGTCAACTACCATTCAAGCTGTCATTGCAATCAATCTTATATTGTTTCTGCTGTATTGTGCCTACCAATTTGTTGTCAACTACCATTTTAAGCTGTCATTGCAATCAATCTTAGCTACCTATGTGCTTTAATATACTGTACCTACAATTTTCTCTCATCTTTTTTTTTTCATTCCATGTAATCTGTTATCATTTTTTTGTCTATAAATTTTGCAAGTATTTACCTCCTTAAAATTTTCTTAGATTAAGGACTTGCCCGAAACGCTGCGCGTGCTAGTGGCTTTACAAGACTGTAATTACCATATTTGTATCCTCACATTCCTTATGTACATTCTTGTATATGCATAAATAAATAAATAAATAAATAAATAAATAAATAAATAAGACGAGAGAGATATCAAATAATATACACGTGGAAAATACTAGAGGGCCAGGTTCCTAATCTACACAGTAAAATAACAACATACTGGAGTAAACGACATGGAAGAAAATGCAGAATAGAGCAGTGAAGAGCAGGGGTGCCATAGGCACAATCAGAGAACACTGTATAAACATCAGAGGTCCGCGGTTGTTCAACGTCCTCCCAGCAACTATAAGAAGTATTGCCGGAACTCGTGGACATCTTTAAGAGAAAACTAGACTGTTTTCTCCAAGGAGTGCCGGACCAACCGGGCTGTGGTGGGTATGTGGGCCTGCGGGCCGCTCCAAGCAACAGCCTAGTGCACCAAACTCTCAAGTCAGGGGAGTAGAAGAACTCCCAGAACCAGGTGATCAACCAGGTAGACACGATAAAATATCTAAACTATTGGGACCGTCTCAAAGCTCTCAAAATGTACTGTCTGGAAAGGAGACGAGAAAGGTATTAAATAATGTATACAAGGAAGATACTGGAAGGCCAGGTCCAAATTTGCCCAATAGAATAACAACATACTGGGGCGGAAGGTACTGAAGAAAATGTAGAATAGAACCAGTGAGAAGTAGAGGTGCCATAGGAACAATCATAGAACACTGAACATCAGAGGTCCACAGCTGTTCAACACCCTCGCAGCAAGCATTAGAAATATTGCTGGAACGAAGGTGGATGTATTCAAGAGGCACTTGGATAAGTTCTTGCAAGAATTGCCAGACCAACCAGGTTGTAGAGGACTGTGGTTCACTCCATGCAACAGCCTGTTGGACCTAGTTATCCCAAGTCGAGCCTGGCCTCAGTCATCTTCGGGGAGAAGAACAACCCCCCAGAATCCTCTCCAGGTATGTCCAGTTAACTAGAGGTAAAGAATGAAAAGTACAGAACTAGCAGTACAAAACTTGAGGTACAGAACTAAAGGAACAAAACAGTACAAAAATCAAGTTACTGAATTGGAGGTAATAACTAGAGGTAGAGAAGAGCGTAAGGAGAGTACGTCACCTGCAGCAGGAACTAGGAGGGCGGAGAGCAGGAGGAGGAGCAGCAGCACCGTGTTGGGCTGGGCCAGACTAGCCAGGAGGTGTGGCCGCCCAAAGTGTGGCGGGGCCGGACTAGCCAAGGGGCGTGGCCGCCCAGTGTGTGGTAGGGCTGGACTAGCCAGGGGGCGTGGCCGCCCAGAGTGTGGCGGGGCTGGACTAGCCAGGGAGCGTGGCCGCCCAGAGTGTGGCGGGGCCGGACTAGCCAGGGAGCGTGGCCGTCGTTGGGAAGTGTCCACTGTCAGCTCCATGCTGCACCATGGCAACCTTACACCTGCAACAACAACAACAATACCATTAGAACTTCTCTTGTGCCATTATGGCCAAAACAAACAATATGTTTACATTTGATGTCTTTATTATGCACCCATACCCATCCAGTGTGCCTTTGTAACCCTTTCCATACAGTGGAAATGGTTACAGAGGAACATAATTGATTCAGGCACTGAACTCCCAGGGACAACTGAACCCCACAAACAACTGAACCCCACAGACAACAACTGAACCCCTGCAGAGAAAAACTGAACTCCCACAGAGAAAAACTAAACTCCCGTAGAGAACAACTGAACCCCTGCAGACAACAACTGAACCCCACAGACAACATCTGAACCCCACAGACATCAATTGAACCACTGCTGAGAACAACTAAACCCCCACAGACAACAACTGAGCAATGCAAAAAACAACTGAGCCCTGCAAAAACAACTGAACCTCATAAAAAAACTGAACCCCACAAACAACAACTGAACCCCACAGACAACAACTGAACCCCACAAACAACAACTAAACCCCCACAGACAACAACTGAACCCCACAGACAACAACTGAACTCCACAGACAACTGAACCCCACAGACAACAACTGAACCCCACAGACAACAACTGAACTCCACAGACAACTGAACCCCACAGACAACAACTGAACCCCTGCAGCATCCCGTTCTCGCAAATTCGTAAAGTCAATATTGACTTATTAACTATGTGCATAGGTGATATACTAAACATAATAGATACCCTTAAAAAGATTCATAGAAAACACCGACCTTACCTAACCTTGTTAGTATCTTAAGATAAGCATCTTATTGCTTCGTAATTACAATTATTACTTAACCTATACCTATTATAGGTTAGGTAATAATTGTAATTACGAAGCAATAAGATGCTTATCTTAAGATACTAACAAGGTTAGGTAAGGTCGGTGTTTTCTATGAATCTTTTTAAGGGTATTTATTATGTTAAGTATGTCACCTATGCACATATTTAATAAGTCAATATTGACTTATTAAATTTGCGAGAACGGGTTGCCTGCAGACAACTGAATCCCACAGAAAACTGAACCCCACATACAACAACTGAACCCCTGCAGACAACTGAATCCCACAGAAAACTGAACCCCACATACAACAACTGAACCCCTGCAGACAACTGAATCCCACAGAAAACAACTGAACCCCACAGACAACAACTGAACCCCTGCAGACAACTGAATCCCACACAAAACAACTGAACCCCACAAACATCAACTGAACCCCACAAACAAGAACTGAACCCCCACAAACAACAACAACTGAACCCCACAGACAACATATTCATTACCCTGGATGTATGGTTCTTGCTGAATTGTAGAGAATACACAGTAGATCACTTCAGCAGTTTATTGAGTAAGGTAACAGTGAGTAGTTATGGCCTGCCGAGGTCCTACCTACTCTGAGCTTGTGAGAATACTGGCTTGCCACCAGAATGGCTAGTACCAACTGTCTGTAGAGAATGAATTCAGAGGCTTACTAGACTGTGATTGGCTATATCCCAACCGTCATTGAATTTGAGTACTAACACCGCTCGGACACACTACCAAGTCGACGTCCCGTGTCGACAAGCTCTGGCTAGCTAGAAAGTTACAATGATATTGAGAAGGACCTCGGTGGCATTCAATAATGGGTTACATGTCATATTTAACATTAAAAGTAGATCAGGTGTGCGGAATACTAACACCGTTCAGCATATGCACAAAAAATTAGAACATAGTAGATGAAAAATCATGGTGACAATGCTTGAATAAAACAAGATGAAGAACATATATATGTCTAAGTGTCAGATATGAACAATACAATTCTAGGTGTTGTCTAAAACAAAATTATTAACATGTGTTAATGTCATGTGCTTAGAAAAATAATTAAAGATAATTATCTGCTTTAATAAACAAAATTCCTCACCCAACAACCACAAAGGAGTTTTAAGACTAGATAATGGAGAAATTTTTTTATGTACAATATATTTACAAGTTATATACAAGGACTGGATCGAGAAGGCTAACATCTTAGTGATAACAGTCAGGAATCGCTGGTCTCAGTGTGGTTGCTAGAACATTAATGGAACTTTTGATGACATGCACTGTAAAAACACAAATGACACAGTAGACTTAACAATGGCACCTGCCTTGACACAAAATAAAGTTGAACAAAAATTTCATTATGCATATATATATAATGGTAATAATAGAACACATGGGGTAGAAATACTGTGAAGTGAATTTTGCCAAACAAAAATAGAATAACTGCAGAATGCACTTAATTATAAATTCTGCGGATATCTACACCTAGATCATCCAGCACACTTTACAACTCTGGCTCTGACTGAAGGTCAGGAACAGATGAAACTGCATGTGACACACTTTCAGCTTGAGAGGTAAACTCATTGACATCTAGCCAATGGACATGTGGTGAGTGCACGGTTGAAACAAAAGATCTAGATCTAAGATTATAGGTGCTAGTATGGGGAGGCTGTACAACAAAAGTCTGTCAACCACAGAAGGTGGTGTCCCAACAGAAGAATCTGTCAGGATAAGTTCATTTTCATCTTCCTCATCAGTCTCATCAACAGTCATTTTAGTTAACTTCATTTGATCTAAATGTTCATTTATATACTCTCCTGTTAACAAATTCCTAAGTCTGCACTTGTTACCCTTAATAAGCTCGATTACCTTGTATGGACACAAAAATTTCTTAGTTAGCTTGTACAAAGGGCCAGACCTGTGTTGGTTAAGTACCATTACTACAGATCCGACAGTTATCTTACTGGGCTTAGCTCGTGCATTCCTTGCTCGAGTGAACTCGGCTGTTGCCTTGGACAGTTGTTCTCGTATTTTCTTGAAAACTAGTTGCATTTGTCTATGCTTTACTTTAACAAAATCATCTACATTATACAAAGGAGAAGGGGATAAGTTAGTCAATACATTAGGGAAGATCTTATCTGTACCATAAAGAATAGTTTGAGGTGTGTCAGCTGTAGAAACATTAATCAAAGAATTTATGGCACACTGAATTAAGGGTATGAACTCATCCCAATTACTGTTATCAAAATTCAACATGACTCTCAAGGCATCTAACACTTTCCTGTTAGTATGCTCTGCTAACCTATTACTTGCTGGGTGATATGGCATAATACTACATTTTTTAATGTTATATAAATTGCACAAGCTAGTTAAAATACTATTATTGAATTCTGGACCATTATCTGAAAGGATTACTTTAGGCATACTTTATCTACAAATTATTTGGTCATGGAATGCACTGGCTATAGTTTCTGCTGTTTTGTTCGGGATAGGAAACAGTTCACAATACCGTGAAAAATTGTCAACCATTACAAGCAAGTGTTTGTTCCCTTTTTCGGTTTCCGCAAAATTCGTCAACAAATCCATTGATACTCGTTCCCAAGGAGCTTTGGTTGCTGGGTACACATTTGTTGGAAATTTCCAACACATACAATATTATTGTATTATTCTTATAAACTATTACTAAAATCTACTAATTACTGTAGTAACTAAAATTAACTAACAGTATTGTTCACATGAACTAATAATTGTATCTGTAAAATAATGCTGGAATTCTTACGTAACCAAACACCAGTATTGCGTCAGATTCTACCAAGTTAAACACATTTATATCCAGTGTGTTAGAGAATTGAGTGTGATTCTCTAAAATCATCAGTATTCCGTGTGATAATTATTTACCGATAACATAACTCCCAAATAATGCCAAATCGAGAATTTTTAGTTATAATTGTTATCAAGTAATAAATTTACCGTCACGCGTGAATGCCATGGAGAAAACTAAAATCATCTCCATTTCTCGTTTACCACCGTAAGACGAGAAAGTAATAATATTTAGCTCCCTAGAATTACAACCCAGTCTTTATCAAAGCATTTTAGCCACAACTGCGCGAATTAATATTATTCGTGGTAAATAATTTCTGTGGCGAACGCGGGGATGCGGAGGGTGAGAGGGAGACGCCATTGTTGTGGTGGACGACAGCTCGAGGAGAAGTCGCCAGTGTGCGGCGTGAAGACTTGTTGCAGAATTGAGCAACTTGTTTTGGTGTCAGGCTGCAGAGTCTAGGACACGTTGCAGTGAAGTTGTCAGCTAGATTTAACCTGATACTCATCATAGAACTAAGTTCTAAGTAAAATAAGCGAGTCGATCAAAAGAAGGCACCAAACTTATTCAGTGCCCTATTAGCTAAGGCTATGTAGCACCATCAAATTACGCAAAATAATCAGAGGTAGCGCTAAAGTATCACCCAAGGATGCCCAATACGAGAACAAAATGCCAATACGCATAAGGCGAACGATATCAAAAGTATCCGAGTCACCAAGAATTCTATCGAGGGACAGGTGACCGCGAGGGGCGGTCGGAAAGCAAGACACACGCTCGTCCTGGAAGTCAGGACATTCAAGAAGGACATGCACGACCGTAAGAGGGACAATGCAACTAGGACAATAAGGAGCAGGGCGGCGCTCCATCAAGTGACCATGGGTTAAGCGAGTATGGCCAATACGCAACCTCGCCAGAGCTGTTTCCCACCGCCGGTTACGGTGGAAGGAGGACTGCCACGAGGAAACACAACATTTAAGAGTACGTAGCTTGTTACCAGTAACAGACAACCAAGAAGCCTGCCAACGGGTAAGGACTGAGGAATGGATAACCGGGTAAAAGTCGGAATACGGAATGCCCTTACGAGAGATGGGACAAGAGCGGACAGCTTCCTTGGCGGCAGCATCCGCACGCTCATTTAAAGACACACCAATATGGCTGGGAACCCAACAAAACTCAACCGACTTAAATTTACTATGAACGAGAAACAGCCAATGCTGGATCTCGACAACCACTGGATGAACTGGATTAAAGGACCCGAGAGCCATGAGGGCACTACGAGAGTCAACAACAACTACAAAGGAAGACTGACAACGAGAAAGTAGGAGACGAAGAGCATAGAGAAT